CAGGGATGATGGGAATTGTAGTCCCAAACACCTGGAGGGCCGGAGTTTGCCTATACCTGACATAGGTGCTGACTTACCCTTTAATCACAGTTACAGTGGAAATGAGAACATTTGCTCTAAGCAGGGGCAGAGGGAAAGGAACGTGAGATCCCACGGTGATGAAATCCTCATTTTAACTGTGGCTAAAGGAGTCCTGATGTTAAAAGAGCCCTGATGTTACAGCTGTACCATTCATTCCACCCTGCACAAAGTTGCTGGGAAACAGAGAGCTTCTGCCAAGCAGGCAGGTGTGGAACAAAAAGGGCTTGTCCACAGCGCATTCTTGGCCTTCTGGAACAAAAGCTTCCCTCAACCTGAACACCAGCTACCCTGTAACATGGATTTTGGAAAGTCTTCCTTCTTTCCTCTTGGGTCACCCAAAGATCACCAAGCATGTGCCCACCTAGGGAACGTCCTGCTGCGAAGTTCCTTGATGAACAGACTGCTTCCGGTCTTCACCGCCTTGCCAACCTCTTTGACCGCACCTGAGTCGGGCTGTTTTTGGGTCCCCCGGCGCCGCTTCACTGTCGGGGGGGGGGGGAGCAAGATAGTAAAAGGCGGGGGGAGAAAAAGACATAAGCAGAGGAAGGTGACAAAGATATTGAAGGAGCTAAGAGAATACTGCTGATGAGGAGGTTACAAACAAACAAAACACACACACACACCTGTAGTCAAGGGCATACACATGAGTAGGTCTGTGCTAAACAAAGAAGGGCCATAGTAGAGTGTTAGAAAGTATATCAGGTTTGGCAAACACCACCCTGCGGAAACCTCCAGCTAAAGGCGTCATCCTAAGACCCTAAATTGTGGGTCAGCTATTGGGCTAGACCAGGGACAGTCCATTTTTCAACACTGTATCTTTCTTTAATAGTTGCATACATGAGATAACTTGCAAAGCATAAGTTTCTAAAAACTCTGCACTGCTGCTGGAACTCCCTTATCTCCACAATGATTAAACATGGAGATATGCCAACATCAGCAGGGATGCATATACACCACAATGTTCTAAAGCACAGGAGAAGAACTGAATGAGATATTGGACAAAATTCAGTTTCCTACAACTCTCAGCCTTCATTCAAAAACAAACAAACAAAACAAAACAAACAAGCAACCCAAATTTCCACTCCTGGTGGTTGCAAAAGATTGGCTTGAAAGTGTGTGGGAAATACCTGCTGAAATTACAGAAGCCAGAAGAGTAGGTGAATAAACTTTCCAGAGGATTGGACTGAGGTCCTTACCCCTCTTCTAAACTAGCAAATACTGTACATTACTTTAAAAAATAAACTCTGTGAAATAGTGGAACAATGCAAACAGTTTATGCAAATCTGCATAAACTGGAATGATGTAAAACAGTCAAAACGCAAACAGACTGTGCCAATTGAGATGAACAATACGCATCTGCATAACTTGTAAGGGTTGCAGAACCATCTTGCCCCAGTACAGAATTTTTATGTACTCAGTTCTGAAAAATTAAGTCCTGACTATTAGTCAAAAAGCACTGGATTGAATACTGGATAACTGAAAACAGCAAAGCTGCAAGGGAGGCAGGAAATTTGGGACAGGAGTCTCTGAGGCACTGTGCAAAGCCACAAAAGCTTTCCCTGATCTCTGTTCTTGCATCCTTTAGCAGGCACATTGTGTTTTTATATTACAGAATTTCTCTCACTTTTTAAAAAAGAGAAGCTCTCATTCATAGGGATTTGATCAATACACCAGATTTTGTGATTTGTGATGAGACAGCATCCATGCAGGAATTAGTATACAATTATATCCTATTAAGTCTTCATCCCACTGAAAAATCACAGCAGGACCATAACTTACTGACAGATGGTCCATGAAGAAGTTGGCAGTTAGGGCAGTGATACAAGTCAATGTCGGCTGCTGCATCCTCTTCTACTCCAACACAGCTTGAAGAGAGAAAGTCAGTTACATATCTCTCCAAAAGACAGACAACCAGTATAACAGGTATGGGAAGACTGTGGCCTCCAGCTGTCATTAGACTACAACTCCCATCATTCCTGACCATTGGCCATACTGGCTGAGGCTGATGGAGCTGGAGTCCAACCACAATTGGAAGGTCACAGGTTCTCCACTTGCTCCAAAAGAAGCAATATCCCCAAAGTCTACAACCACCCAGCCCTAGATGACCACCCTGTACAAGCTCAGAGACCGTTTCTTCTAACTCTGAAATACAGGAACTGTACCCTAAGTCAGAGCGCCTAGTTTGTATATACAATGTCTCCAGTTCAAGGGCATGCAAGAGGAATGGGACAGTCATCTGCCAGAGACCTCAAAGATACATAGGACACTTCACTTGGCTAGACAGGTCCTTTCCAGTTTAAGGCAACCCTTTCTATTCTAAACCAGCATGTCCTGAGGACCTGATGGAATTGCAGCCAAATGCTCCTTAAAAGATAAACACCCCACGTTCCAACGTCCACACTCTTTGTTTAAGAAGTTGCACCTAGTTGCTCATTTTTTAATCAGCTGTCTGTCCGTTCCATCCTGCGACCTGGTAGTGAAGGCATCTTCACCTATTGATGTCCTACAAGGGAGTGAGAAATGGCTGCATGAGAGGTTCTGCATGCAGTTGCTACCAGTTGAAAAAAACGCTGGCTAAATGAAGGAACAATCTGAAATTTAATCCAGATACGACTGTTGGTGATGGGTGTCTGACAGTTTGGCAAAAAACAGAGTACTCCACCATCAACCATATGAGAGGAATTCCAGGAGCGAAAGGAGGCAGGTGAAGTTCACCTCAGGACATGCCCCAGATGGGCCACCCCTGGATGAACTACCAACAACCATCATGTAGAAAAGACCCTAGCGTGTTTTTGATATGTTACTATTTTTATTTTATTTTTAAAATATGTACTTGAAGGCCACCTTGGTAGGATCTGTAGCCTGAATGGTGGGATATTAACAACTGCAATAAGAATAAAATAAATAAATATGGCACAATAGAAATCAGTTCTATGCTCACATCTTCCATGAAATATGGCTGCACTACATGCAAGTGCAAAAAGAAGCTGTGTGGGGTTGAAACAGCACAATAGAAACAGGATTACAGCTTCTTAAATTTTTGCTGCACTTCTATAACTTCAGATCCTGCACTTCTATAACTTCAGATCCCTTAACAGCCAGTGTGATCTGAGATCCCTTAATACCAGTGTGGTCTGATTTAAGCACACTGTTTACCTGTTTGGGGGAATGGCTAACTTATTTTAAGCCTCCTCACCAACTGGCACTGTAAGAGCTTAGGGCAGGGATGGGGGACGGGGAACTCCTATCATTCCTGGCCACCAGCCACACTTCCTGGGGTTGATGACACCTGAAGAGCTAGTTCCCCCATCCATGACTTAAGGCATGTCAACTGTTTGGCAGGTATAAACATGAAGTCTGCTGGTCAACTCCTGTTTCTACGGATGAATGTCACGGTCCCCCAATCGATTTCTGGCAACCATCCAGAAGTGTCCATGCACAAAGGCAGATCAACCCTAAACACCAGATGATGAGGACAAGCAACAGAGGAAGACCCTTCCTGCCTTCAAGAGGTCTCAAACTGGCCACTTTTAGGAAACAAACTTTAAATCTTGGCCTGATCCAGCAAGGCGATTCTTAGAGCAACTAGCCCTTTGAGAATTACTGGCATTCTACCCATACTCCTCATGAAGGCCCCCATTTAAAGGCAGCATCTCCAAGAGCAGACATACCCTGGATTTAAAGAAACAGGGGGCTTTGGAGCCGCTACCTCCAAATGTCAGTTCCCACCCAGTGCCGCTTTCTTCTCACCTGCCGTGGAACCAGTCCTGGCAAACGTCGCACTCGATCATGAAGCGGGTGACATCGTAGGGCAGGCGGCAGAGACAATATACAGGGACAGAGGCCATGGCGGAGCCAAGTTCAAGCGAAGGAAGACCCTCCAGGAACGAGCGACGTCCAAGCGTCCGCTATGGCAAGTTGAAGGACGTGGTCATGCTGAGGTCTGCAGGAGAGCCAGTCTGGCCCCGGCTGAGCGGGGGCTAAATTATTTCATCCCCCTTACCCACTCCAACTCCCCAAGAACCAACTTCCTTGCAAAACGTGCTTGTTGGGTCCTTGCGATGATGTCCTCCGTGGCGTCCTCTTCCTCCCCCAAAACAGCAGGGCTTGGCTGCAGGCGCTCTCTTGAACCCCAAAGTTTCGACCTGAAGTTTCATGGGCTGCTTCTGATCATCCGAAGCCCTCCAAGGCAGCCTCCCCAAGTTTGCACCCACTTCCCCCCTACTTGGGGGGGGGGGAGACCCTCCTCGCCTTCCTGGGATAAACTTCCCAGGTTTATTTTTTCGGGGGGCGGGATCCCCCTCGCATCTGCTGCACCCCAAACTTGCCCGCTGCCTCAGTTTCTCCCCGCAGGAGATTCCCAGCTGACAAAGGCGCTGAGGGACATCGCGCTCTCCCGGGCGACCTTCGGGTCCTGCTCCTCTCGCGCCTCTCTCGGTCAGCCCCCCCCCCCAAAAATGCCCCCCACTTCCCAGTCAGGCTCCCCTCGACTCCCGGGAGGAGCCTTGTCCGGAGGGGCTTCCCTCGTCGCGGCCAGAGACGCCTCGCCCCGGGCCCGCAGCGGAGGCCAAGCACCGCGGACTCGCACGCCCCGTCCCGGGCTTCTTTCTCCCTTCCGGGCAGGAGCGCCTAACTCCACGGCGGGGATCGAGGCCTTCTCGCGCCCAAGCGGCTGCGCTGCTTCTCGGCGACTCTAGAGGCCTCGGCGAGGCCCGGGATCCTGCTCTCGCTCCGGCTCCTCAATAAAGTTTATTCAAAACCACGGGGGGGGAGGGGGAGGGAGAGACTCGAGGAGGCGCCGGCGGCCATCTTAGGGGAGGCGCAGCGCGGGACGCTTGGGAAGCCATCTTGGGAAGGGACGGAAGAGAGGCCTGCGTCCTAGAGATACGAAGGCTTAGAGCTGCGCCCCTGCCGTTCCACATCTGAAAGGCGGGATAGACGCTATTCCCATCGCTCGCGAGAGGAGCAAAACACTGCAGATCCCCGTTCGGCTCTTTGGCGCCGCGCCAGGGAACTGCGGAACTCCCCGCCTCATGAGATCCAGCGGGAGCTTTTGCTCTGCTATTCTCAGCGCCTGCTAAGGAGCTCGTTGCTTAAGCAAACCTACCCAGATGCTTAGAAAGTCGAGGCAATGCGAATCTGTTTCAGTATTTTGACTTTCGTGCTTGCCTTGCTTGCTGAGTTTCGTTGCGGGGATTGTTGATGTGGGTTTTGTTGCATCTTTATTTCACACCATGTGACTTGTGTGGAAATTATTCAGTTTGGTGGTGGATTCTTTTCAAGGCTTTTATCTACTGTATAATTAATTAAGTGAAACAGTATATTTTCTGGCATCCAAATCTATTGGACCAGTTGCCCAGTGTCTGCCAAGAGTAAAAGGGAAGCTCAAGGTCTGGAACAGAATGAGGATATTGGCAGAAGGAATGGCATGTTCATTGGACTGTTAAGTGTAGTGTAGTGCAAGTGTTGACGTTTCATGTTCCAGTCTGCACAAAATATATATATTTTATTTCTTTGCAGTCAATGGAGAGCGGATGAAGCCCGGATTCTGCGTGTGTCCATCAGCTCCTTCCTGGAGCATCTCTGCTTGGTGGTGGAAACTATGGACCTGTTTGGGCCTCCTGTGGCTTGACAGATGGTTGCAACAGGAAGCTTCCCCATAGTCTTGGCTGGACTCTGGACTTGCCCATGGGCTACTGATGTCAGAGGAGGCCCTGAACATGCCATCCTTAGAGCCAAGATGTTGCTTTGTGTTCTGGAGCCAGCGGGGAACTCTTTGCTTTTGGATACTCTTGGACATTGATAGATTTTTTGTGCTGAGAAGCAGGCAAGCCTGGGACTGCCTTGATATAAGACAAAGTACATAGAATCTGGTGCTTTAATAAACTATCCAGTGTGCTTTACATTTTAGTCTGTATGTGTTAACTGATTAAATATATTTGAGCCGGCTCACCATATTGATTAATCAATTACGGTATACAGTGCATGGCCGAGGGTTAGGGCTAGTGGGAGTTGTAGTCCTTGCAGCACCGGGAGAGACCCAGGTTCCCCATCCCCATTGCTGCATCTCTCTGTCTCTCTTGCCCCCAGGGAGAAAGCAGCTAATAGCTGGCAGTGAGGAAGAGGAGGGGGGGTCAAGCAACAGAGGAGCCAAAACGGATGGTGTGGTCTTGAAACCCTATTTATATAGCAAGATTTGCCTTTTTTCTTTCTTTTTGGCAGGCTCCTATTTTTAAACAGCAAGCAAAACATCCAAAGCCTCATAAGGCTACAAGATACAACAAATTTTCACTTGTGATCTCAATAGTAGACAATTTTAAATGTTGCTGATAGATAGATAGATAGATGATAGATAGATGATAGAGATAGATGATAGATAGTTAGTTAGTTAGATAGATAGATAGATGATAGATAGATAGATAGATGATAGATAGATAGATAGATAGATAGATAGATAGATAGATGATAGATAGATAGATAGATAGATAGATAGATAGATAGATAGATAGATAGATAGATTGTAGCCTTATGAGGCTTTGCCCTTGGGTGGGGAAAAATATTGCGCCCGGGAAAGGGAAAATGGGAGTCAACAGACACTCAAGGAATAGTTTCGGAGAAAAAGCTTTATTTCTACCATCCATGAACTGGTAGAAGGAGCAAGTGTGATAGATTCACAAACAAGCACGACTTCACAGTCATTTGCACAGAGCATATATTCCCCTTCCAGTTCCCTCCGCTTTCTCCTCCTCTTCAGAGTCCTGCCCCATGTTGAGGTTCCTGAGCATGAACAGAAAGCTCCTGTCTTTGGGACTATTGTGGACTCTTGGCACCCTTACCAGGAAAGGGGAATTAGAGTGGTTCAGCATGTCCAAAGATGTTGCAACTGAATGAGGTAAGATTCGTTTCTCAGGCCTGCTTTGAACAGAGCCTATTCATTAGCTTTTTGAAGCCTTCTCGTACTGATAAAAGAATAATATTCTTCCTATGCATCTTGTGAGAAAAGCAGAGAAGAGCAGAGAAAAGCTGTTTTGGATTTTTTTAGAAGAGAGAAAAGGAATTTTGGACAGTTTTGAGGCCTGGTTGGGGGGGGTGATTTCAGGCCTAGGTGGGGTCACCTGTCCTCACCTCCTTCACCCTAGCTTAGGAGCTAACTCCTCTTAAACCCATACCCCCCCCAAAAAAAATTGAGGGGGCCGTGAACCCCCCCAAACTGTTGATGGCCATCACCATTTAATTGTGTGTGGCGTGTCATGTGACTATGTAGGACAGGGCTTACCGCCTGCCCGCCCCCCCATATTTTGTTCAAGATGGCACCCCAGCAACCCTGTTACTAGGGAGAGGGACCGGTACTAATTTCTCACCCATGCGCAGTGATCCCATGTTGAAAACAAACCCATTTGGTATCCCCTGTATTAATGCGCCATGGGACTATTTTATGTGTCCTTGTGACCAACAGGTGGTGGAAGGAGCGAGCCAGAATCTAGTGAGTGAGACTGTCCCTGGCTATAATACTGGTTTTAACCCTCTCCCTGGTCAGAGCTGAAGTTGTTATTTACAACTTTAAAAAGAGTACAGTACAACAAATGTTCCCTTGTGATCTCCGTAGTTGGCAGTTTAAAATGTTGCTTGTAGATGATAGATAGATAGATAGACAGACAGACAGACAGACAGAAGATAAATAGATTCAGTAACTCCCTAAAAAGTGTTAGGTGACGCAATACATTTTAAATTTAAAGGAAACTGAAAGAAAATAAGAAGACCAACAAAGAATTAATCATAGTAAAACAGGGAGGGTAAATTCTGGACTTTGAGAAAGCCCCCAAAAGAAAGCTTAGCCAAGAAAAATTTAAACTGAAAACTCATAGAAAACACCAAGATGAAGATTTTAAAGAGAATCAAGAAAAGCAGATATACCTGATGACTAGAAAGGCCAAGGGAAAACAAAGACACATGAAGGAACACAACGGGCGAAATCAAGTTTATTTTTCTTTCGACCAACAAGTCTTTGGATGTACAAAGGAGCAGAGGAAAGGGTGGGTGGAGATGAAGTCTGCTTCAAGCAGAGTGAAGAATAATTGCAGAAAATAGAAGGCTTTTCTTTTAAAAGGCAACTGGAGAAGCCATTTCATAAAAAGAAGGCTGGCGTTTCTGTTGCCCAAGTGATTATTATCATTACTGTTATTATTTATTGAATTTCTATGCCGCCCTATACCCGAAGGTCTAAGGGCGGCTCACATAAAATATCAACTACACCAAATCAAAACAAGAACGACCCAAGAACGGGTTCCCAGAGCAGAGACAGCAGGAGTCAGGCTACCCCTGTCCAGAGAGGGGCGCAACTGGGCCACCAGCTGAAGCTGATGGAGGGCACTGGGGGTCACTGAGCGCCTTCCCTTGTCTCTTGACAGAGGTGCAGGGCGACCAAGGCCGTTTCCGTGCCAAAGGCAAGCCTAAACCCTGATGGAAATGGACCCAGATATTCAGCTTCTTCCAAGAGCACCTGGATCTGGTCTGCAACCACTCGCTCCAGAACCTCGCTCCAGAAGTTGGAAAAACCAAGACGGGTAAGATTTTAACACAGGTAAGACTTAGAAGTGAGAAGGGTAGGGGGATCTAGGGGGATCCAGGGGGATCCAGAGGGAAAGAAAGCTGTGCATGCGATAAAGAGCAAAGCAGAGGCGCAGAAGACAACACAGTTCCATTTAATGTCATTTTAGCTCAGATTGCCTTGTTGACAAAAATGCTTTGCAGCCATTTTGTGATAGCTTCTAGGGGACTATAGGTAAGCTCCTTTGCTAATGGGCAGAACTTAATTTTATGTATATTGTGGCTTCCAAGGAGTAGAATAACAAGCCCTCTTGAGCAGCAGGCTTGAAAGTTGTGGCATTGGGCATCTGAAGCCAAACAAATTGTATTTACTTCAGAAGAGGGTCACCAAAATATTGTTGAGTTTTGGTTCCTTCAGGTGTGTATAAATCCAAAAGGTTCCAGACATGCCAGCATTTTGCATCCTCGCCAGTACTTCTGTTCCTAAAGTAGAATACCCATTTAGAATACCCATTTTAAAAGCTGATGCATCAAACTGCTTCCTTTGTCTGTAGCAATTGCCTTGCTGATTTCAGTGTGAAAAAGCAAATAAGGCATTTTGAGGGTGAATCTACTGATGGCAATGGGAGAGGTGGCCTGGTAGAGGCACTGGAGTGAGTAGAGGTTTTCACCATTTTGCCAGCCATTTTTTAAGCAAAAAAAGTCCAGCAAACGTTTAAGAACAAACATATTCACAATTAGGAAGGATGAGCCGTGACCATTTTTTCCTGTACATAAAGGGCAGAAAATGTTGTCTGTTAATGGGAAGGCTGAAATGACTGAGAAAATATTTGAAATCTTATGAATCCCTGCTCTCTGGCCATTTTTACTCATACATAAGGGGGTGGCTGATTGTTCCACTAATGACCAGAGCGGGGCCACACAAAATCATAATAACCCACATTTGTGAAACGTTTTGGAATAGAGACCTGTACCCTTCAATCCTGTAAATAAAGGAGGCATGTAGCTCCCTATTTTATTTGCCTGGGGTACCGGTATGTCTGTTGAATGCAGGGAACATATCCATAAATGCTGAAGACTTTATTAGAAATTTAATTTGACCCAAATTCTATTGCTGACTTTTTGGTGAAAACTTGCACGATAGGGTTGATAGTTGCTGGGTTTCCTACAAATACTAAATTTTGGATCCTCGCCAGTTCATCTGTTCCTAAGGCAATATATTTAAAACCTGGTGTAGCAAACTGCTTCCTTTGCCTGTAACCTCTCACTTGGTTACCTTCAACTGCAATCGTAGCTTCTAGTGATAAAACATTTGAATTATCAGAGGTGGCGATAGGCACTAATAACTAACAAGTGATCTCTAAATGCTCCATCCAAAGTATAGCAGCAATGCAGTTGTGTGTCTTCTGGCTGAAGGTCAACTAGGTGAGTATTTTGTGCTTGGCTGAGGGGAAAATCTCGGTTGTGTTCTGCCTGCAACTCTTTGTACAAAGATTCTTTCAGGTCGCAGTGAGGGGGACCATTCAAGCACCCTGAGCCTGTTGGAGAAAAGGTAGGCTCTAAATGGAATCATACATCAAATATGCAAACTAACTATTCCAAAGAGCTTGTATTGAGCAACATTGGTTATTCAATCCCTTTTTCAGAAGAGCTGTGAACTCGAAAGCCGAATGTGGTCGCTCTCCGTGCTTCTACCTGGAGGGACTTCTCTTGTCGGGACACCACTGCAGGGGAGGCCCTTTCCTGTGCCATCACCACACAATAAGGTACATCTTTGGGTGGGACGGCCATCCTTGTTTTGTTCCAGCTCTTATTTTTACAGACCTCACAGAGCTACCTGTGCCGGAAGCAGATCTGCTCCATTGACAAAAGGCAGTGTCAGAGCTCTTGATCCATCAAGTGAACATCTGCAGTGCAGGATTGAGAGACACCTGCGTCTTGACTGCGCTGCTTTAGGTAACCGGCGGTTTTTGCTCCTGTGTCTGGAGGGGAGGGCTGCTGAAGACCCTAGTCTCTTCCAGGTGCATCTCAGGGACGCAAGAAATAGAATTTTGCAAGCCTTCAGGGAACTTAACGGCAAGTGAACTTCACATTCCACAATTCAGTGATCTTTTTCAGTACAATCCTTTTGGGCTGGCTTCTCCATTTCCCCCCGCTTGATCTCTTCACAGTTCTGTCCAAGAGCCCATCACACTCAGGTGAAGCCAGCTCTTCCTGCAGAAGTCAGGTCAGTCAGAACAGCTGTGTTCCAAAAACATTTCTCTGGAATTGGCAGGAAAGGTCCAGGGACAAAGTAATGAGTCCAGATTGCTTTTCACAGACCAGCAGAAGGAACTTCCAGGCCCATGAATTCACACTTCGGAGGGACTAACAAAAAGGTGAGCATAAATGCAGAGTTTGAAGACTGGAACCAGTCTCTCTGTTCTGCCCTGCAAATGAATGGCAGTCAACATGGCACTCTGTGACGTAAACACATCTAGGTGAATATCCCTTGCTAATGGCAAGGGATAAAACCTCGATTGTGTTCTGTCTGCAGCTTCATAATTCTTAAGGGTTTTCTTTTTTCCTGAGAGAACATTCTGTATTCAGAGTGTTCTCTCAGGTTTTGCTTTTCACCTTGTTGCATTGGCAAAAAAAAGCAAAAGACGCTGGTGGTTGGCGCTCCTGGTTTCCAGGACGGGGTTCAAGCCCCTGCAGTGTCCCTGCTTACTTCCAATGCAACCTCTCTCTCTCTCTCTCTCTCTCTCTCTCTCACACACACACACACACACACACTCTCTCTCTCTCTCTCTCTCTCTCTCTATCTATCTATCTATCTCTCCCCCTTAAGAAGTAAAGGAAGCAAAGTGCTCCTCTGATGCATCACTGGTGTGTGTCTAAGACAAGGTGGATTACATGGATGCTTCCCATCCTAGCACTCCTTGCCATAAGGAACAAAATACGTACTGTATAAAACTGTCTTTTAATTTGGCATTTTTTAGAAAGTAACCTAAATATAAAAACAAACGGATCCTACTTAGATCATTCAGAATGTGGAAAAGGCCGGGATGAAAGAGGAAATGGCATCACGTTCACTCATTAGCAGAAGAGCAAATATAAGATGCTCAGGTGTCCTATTTTACAGAAGACAGTCATCAATTTTCAGGACTATCAGAGGCTTAAGATGTGGACTGGTGACAGTTCTCTGTATGAAGGTGTCCTCTATTTGAATGGCCGGGCATTCCAGGTCTGGCTGAAAGATACTGAAGGAAGAGCAGGGGCACTGAAGTTGCCCATCAACAGATAGCACCTTGGCAGCAGACTAAGCACAACCACCCAGGCCACAGTCTTCCCCGCTACAGTGAGATGTATAATATTCCCATGTAGAATTATAGGGTGACCCAACACATCAGTCATACTCAGGGTAATATATATTCAGCTAAGTTAGTGGTTCTAGTGACTATGACTTAGTAGGATACAAACTACTAATATTTTTATATGGGCATTTACACACAGCATATGCAAATTGGTATCCATTCCTTTGGCCAAGTGTCAATGGCCACTCTAAGCAAAGACGTGTCCAATTTCTGCAATTGGGGTTATCTAGGTTTAGGCCCTTTTGTTTTCTCCTGATCATGAGGAATGGAGTTTGACCCTAAGTAAGTTCACTTTGAAGGAAGGACTTACTCTCCTAGTAAGTGCACGTTGGGGTAGGGCTGTAGCTCCGTTTCAGAGTGCATGTTTTGTATGCAGGAGGTGGGGTCCCAGGCATTTCCAGACAGGGATGCTAAGAAAGATCCTTCCAGAGCCACTGCAAGTCAGGGATACCCAGGCATCAGAAGAACTATCCACCCAGATCTTCAGGAGGGCCAGAATTGCATTTTGCAATGTTTTCCACATTATTTTGCGGAAATTTCTTTCTTTCCCCAGGGCGGTATGGTGCTGAAGGGAACGGCACACCTACCCTGCAGTGAGAATTTCTACAAACACACCACACACACACACACACACACTGTATATTGGGGAATGGAAGCACCAATGACTCACACTTCCTCTTCAATATTTTGTTTAGTGTATGTAATTCCCCTCTTCCAGAAAATTCCAATATTACTGCATTAGAATGAAGCGCATGGGACACTAAATGTGACACTCAGTGTTCTGGGCCTGGTTACATGCCACAGAAGTGCTCTGGCCTGGCCGCGTCAGAGCTCTGCTGTCAAAAACCAAGGACTAGAAGCTCTCCCAGAAATATTAAACACAGACTACAAAAGTGACCTTGAATAAGAGAGAGTGTATCTTGTTGGAAAGGTAGGCTGTGTGGGCCTGTGTTTGTGTGTGTGATTTTCTTGTACATTTTATGCTCCTTATCGCTACCCCCAACATCTGTGAGCTGAGGATCCCCTTCCCATCATCATCATTGGCCCAGATTGCACCGGGCTCCCTGGCCCCTGACCCTGAGTCCCGCAAAGAAGGGATCAGCAAGGAACTGGATGTGACGGAGGACACCTTGCATGTGTGAGTATTGGCCAGGCGCCCCCTTCTGCAAGAGGCCAGGTGTGGCGACAGTCGGGGCACATGGTGGACTCTAAGTCCTGGGTGCAGCCTGCAGGAAGGTCTCCTGCACAAGCTGCAGGAGGATGAGAGACAAGGTGGCGCCGTAATGGATGGCATGTTGGACTTGAACCAGGGTTTAAACAACAACAGTTTTATTTTTTGTACCCCGCCCATCTGACCAGGTTGCCCCAGCCACTCTGGGCAGCTTCCAATAGATATAAAAACATAAAACCTTTAAAACTTCCCTATACAGGGCTGCTTTTAGATGTCTTTTAATAGTTATATAGTTATTTCTCTCCTTGACATCTGATGGGAGGATGTTCTGCAGGGCGGGTGCCACCACCATGAAGGCCCTCTGCCGGGATCTCTGTAACCTCATTTCTCACAGGAGGGAACTGCCAGAAGGCCCTTGGAGCTGAACCCGTTTGAATGAGTCTGTTTCTTGGCCTGACATACCCTGCAGGGCTGTTTTGAGCATAACTCGGAGGCAGAGTGGGGTGCAAGTAAAAGAAAGTGGTGTGCTGAGCAACGTGTTGCCACGCAAGATCCTCTGCCACTGGTCTTGCCAGTGGACAGTAGTGCCTTCCTTTGCAGAAGTGTGAAATTTGAAGGGCGGCTGTGGTTTGGTCCTTGTGTTGTTTACGAAGGTATGAATTAGGTAGGTTTGACTTTAAATGGGAATTGAATCAGATTTCTCCCTCATTCCTCCCTCATATGAAAGCCCCCCCGAGCTCTTTGCAAGGAACAAAAAGGAAGAAAGTCCCACTTCTTTTGGCTTTATTAAAATAATTGTGTAGGGCCAAACCATATAATCCTTAGATCTAAGGGACTCAATGTGGGAAGCTCATATATTTCCATTGCCTGCCCCCCTTACTAGGGGATAAAGTCTCTCTTCATTTGTTAATGACAGTGATGATGGTTCTTAATGCCACTGTTGACTGCTGTTCACTTTGCAGTGGTACCTTGGGTTAAGTACTTAATTCATTCCGGAGGTCCGTTCTTAACCTGAAACTGTTCTTAACCTGAAGCACCACTTTAGCTAATGGGGCCTCCTGCTGCCGCCGCGCCGCCGGAGCACGATTTCTGTTCTCATCCTGAAGCAAAGTTCTTAACCCGAGGTAATATTTTTGGGTTAGCGGAATCTGTAACCTGAAGCGTATGTAACCTGAGGTACAACTGTACATGGTTGAAATATTATTCTGAGATACCAGTAGTTTATTAAATAGTTTAGTACAACATTTGATTCAGAATTTTTTCCCCTTGTTTTCCTCCTCTAAAAACTAGGTGCGTCTTATGGTCAGGTGCGTCTTGTGGAGCGAAAATTACGGCAGTCCACTGCAGGCCCACCGCAAGACATTTTGGCACTTGAGGTGAACCACAAAATGGCATCCCACTGCCCAGAAGAAGGGACGAGTGAAGATCTACAAGTGGCTGATCCAGCCTCCAAGGAGAGCGGCCAATGTGTTCCTTGGAGGCCAGATCTGCTGCCCCTGTGGATCCTGCAGCTAACTTTGGACAGGTTTACACACACTATACAAGTTTTTAAATATCTGCAGTTCTGCACCGCACTTTCCTTTTCACTCAAGTAACTTGAAGTTATTTGTTCAATGGGTCTACTCCAAGTATGAATTAGATGGACGTCACGCCAAATGAGCGGCTGCAGGGACACCGTGAAGGAACACCTGAAATTCGGATGAGGCTGAATTCTTCACTTCTGCAGAGCTGCAGCCGACACAGAGCACTGAAAGTGACACGGCACCTTTCTTTCAGACCTTGTACCTTTACAAAGCTTAAAACACAGGAGTACAAACACACCATTTATTTATTTTTTACTAAAAGAATAGAATTTATTAAGCACTGTAAGTCTCTCTCCATCATCAACAGATGAACAACGCGCCAGGATTCCACCAGCAAAAAACATTCCCAAAAGACACCCAAGCTTTCTGATTGCAAACCTACTGCGAGTTTCCCCTGATTCAGAGCAACCTGTCCAAACTTACACTGATTAAAAAACCCAAGAACCTATGGAGCTTGGTGTGGGGTGCAAGGATTGGGGAGATGGGGGTTTGTTTATCAAGGTTGGGGTAGTAAAGATAACATTTATCCATCCACTAAGAACAGGTGTTAATATAGCATAAAAAGAAAATCCATTTTAAAAAAGAAGGGAATAATGAATTTATCCCACATAAATAAAGCATGAACTTGCAATTGACAGGGGATCACTAACAAGAAAAAAAAATCAGATTTACTCTGTTCATCAAAAATTGGTTTGTATGCTTTTTTCCCCCTTTAAAGCTAAAATCTCAGGCTAAACATTTTAAAAGGTGGTCATGGGGAGATATATATGGTAAAAATGCAACTTCCAAGGTTATTCAAAGAGGGTGTGTGAGGGGAAAGATTGGCTTAAAGTAACAACTGAGATTGAAGTTTTTACTTTTAAAATCTTACTAGGCATTTAGTTACTATCAACAAAGCATCTACCAAAATACAAGAGCAATGGTTATAAGTCAGAAAAAGTGTACATCCCGTCTGCAAGGGTAATATTATAGACAGATAAAAGTGTACGCGGGAAGCGGGGGTTGGTCTTTCAAAACGGACTCAGAAAAGAATTCTAATCTTTAAAAAAAAAAACCTAGAAAATGAGCGACGCTATCTGACTTTATGCAATGAGCGGTAAATAGCAATTAAAGACTGAAAGATCTCTAAACAAGGTGTGTGTTAGATTTCTTTTAAACAATAAAAATGGACTTACAAAATAGATTGGTGTGGGGGTAATTGGAAGGATTAAAATTAAAAATAGAAGAACATGCATATTTAGCAAAATACATGTCAGGTAAGTTAGCTACTATAATGATTCAACTTCGGTAGTAAAATTATGCTAACAAGAT